ACGACACGTGACTGGATCTGCTGGTAATTGTTTTAGTCGTTGGATGAATTTGATTTGCTTTTATTTATTTGGAGCATTTATTTCAAAGAGGTTAGCTCTGTTCAATTGAATAATGTTCTTAAAACCAGGATGGTAACACTGTGCCTGGTTGATAAGTTAACCCCCCGTAGGCAGATATTTTAGAGGTCAGAACCAATGGCCACAGCCATTTCTGGGGGCCTACTGTTAGATGGCTTCTGTCCATGTGGCTGTTGAGACACCAACTTTTCTACCCAATCCACACTACAGATTGGTATTTGTGGCGAGGTCAAGGAACTACCTATGGTAGTCATTTGAGGACGGTGTATAGAAATCTCTTACCCAAGCTGGGCACAGTGGTAAATGCCTGTAATCCCAGCTACTCAGGAGGCAGAGATCAGGGAGGATCATGGTTTGAAGCCAGCTGGGCAAATACTTCTCAAGACCCTATCTCAAAAAAAAAAAATCACAAAAAAGGGCTGGTGGGGTGGCTCAAGTGGTAGAGTGACTGCCTAGCAAACGTGAGGCCCTGAGTTCAAACCCCAGTGCCATTTCCCATCCCCATCCCAAAAAGTGAAGGGCTCAAACCCAGTGGGGCTCTGGACTCTATAAAGCTTTACGACACAGTGCAGGCTGACTTGCAGCCTCTGGCCTGTTTGGAGGCCAGGGTTAGGGACTTGCCATTTGTCCTCTGGGGAAAGGGGGAGGTGGGCGTTGTCTTCTGGGGTCAAACACCTCAGAAGAGAATGATTACAAATCACCATGAAAAACGGGGCTGCCAGAAGACAGGCACGGTGGTGTCAGCCTATAATCCCAGCTGCTCAGGAGGCTGAGGAAGGAGGATTGAGAGTTCAAGGTCAGCCTGGGCAAAGGTGAGACTGACTCAAAACAAAATAAAAACACAAGAGTGGGGTAGAATGAAAGAAAGAAAATGAGAGAGAGAGATGGAAAGGAAGAAAGAAAGAAGGAAAGAAAGGAAAGAAGAAAAGGAAAGCAGGCTAATTTGGAAGCTGAGATTGGGAGGATGAAGGCTCTAGGTCAGCCTGGCAAAGAGTAATTTGAGACCCCATCTCCAAAATAACAGAGCAAAATGGACTGGAGGTGGTGCTCAAGTGGTAGTGCATCTGCCTTGGACAAGCAAAGTCCTGAGTTCAAACTCCAGTCCCACAAAAAAAAAAGTTTTCTCCCTCCCTTCCTATCATTTCTTTGCTTCCTTCCTTCCCTCTCTCCCATCCTCTTTTTTTTTTTTTTTTTTTGGGATACTAGGGTTTGAACTCAGGGCCTTCACCTTGAGCCACTCCACCAGGCCTTTTTTGAGATATGCTCTCACAAAACTATTTTCTGGGGCTGGCTTCAAATTGTGATCCTCTTCATGGCTGCCTCCTGAGTAGCTGGGATTACAGGCGTGAGCCACTGCACCCCCTCCAACTTTCTTTCTTGAGATGGCCTCTCACTATGCTGGCCCAGTCTGATCTGGAACTCATGACCCTTCTGCCTCATCCTCCCAGGTGCTGGGATTACGGGCGTGTAATCCATCTGGCTCATTTTGTCCATATCTTGGTAAGTTAGAAGATCTTGTTTGTTTGGTGGTGTTGGTTTGAACTGGTTTGAACTCAGGGCCTCACACTTGTTAGGCAGGCACTCTTACCATTTGAGCCACTTCGCCATTCCTTTTTTTTGCCGTATTGGGGATTGAACTCAGAGCTTTGTGCATGCTAGGCAAACACTCAACCATTGGGCTACATCTTGAGCCCTTCCAGCCCTTTTTGTTCTGGTTATTTTAGAGATAGGGTCTTGCTTTTTGCCCAGGCTGGCCTGGACCTTGATCCCTCTATTTTTAGCTTCCAGTCTTAGCTGGGATGACAGGCATATATCACCACGCCCAGCTTTTTTCCATTGAGATGGGGTCCCTCAAATTATTTGCCCAGGCTGGCCTTGAGCTGTGATCCTCCAGACCTCAGCTTCCCAAGTAGCTAGGATTACAGGCATGAGCCACCGATGCCCAGCTCAGATTAGAAAATCTTAAAGGTTGTTCTCCCTCATATGTGGACATTAGATCAAGGGCAAACACAACAAGGGGATTGGACTATGAGCACATGATAAAAGCTTTAGCACACAAGGAAGGGGTGAGGATAGGTAAGACACCTAAAAAACTAGCTAGCATTTGTTGCCCTTAATGCAGAGAAACTAAAGCAGATACCTTAAAGCAACTGAGGCCAATAGGAAAAGGGGAACAGGTACTAGAGAAAAGGTTAGATCAAAAAGAATTAACCTAGAAGGTAACACCCACGCACAGGAAATCAATGTGAGTCAATGCCCTGTATAGCTATCCTTATCTCAACCAGCAAAAACCCTTGTTCCTTCCTATTATTGCTTATACTCTCTCTACAACAAAATTAGAGATAAGGGCAAAATAGTTTCTGCTGGGTATTGAGTGGGGAGCGGGAGGGGGTGGAGTGGGTGGTAAGGGAGGTGGGGCAGGGGAGAAATAAACCAAGCCTTGTATGCACATATGAATAATAAAAAAAAAATGAAAAAAAAAAAAAAAAAAAGAAAATCTTAAAGGTGCTATCCATAACTTTCAAAGGCACAGACTGGGGGAATTTATATAAAGACATATCATTTTTTTCTAGAATATTCTAGAATAATCTTTCCATGGAATACTATACAGCAGAGAAAGTGAGCCACCTATAGGTACATGTGGAAGCAGGTGAGTCTTAAAGATGTAATTCACCAAAGGAAACAGAGGCTGTAGAATTAATATGAGATGATTCCACTTATATAAAAGTCAAAAGGAGGGGAAAAAATAACAAAAAGTCAAAAGGAAGCAAAATAAAACTGTAGTGTTTATGGATGTGTAATTACCTAGTAATTATAAGATGTAAAGGATTAACGGTGGCATTGCAGGTGTGTGGGTTGGGGGGTGGTTTGGTGGCAGCTAGCTTGTTTTATGAATGTATTTCACGCAGCTTCTTAACCTGGTCACTTATGTTTTCTGTGTTTTTCTTTGTGTTTTGGAATTTCCCACTTTTAAAAAAATGGTGGAATCAGGAAAGTTCTTGAGGAACAAGGGCAACCCAGCGAAATATAACACAGGAAGGCCTGTCTAGCCAACTAGGACCTGGTTATTCACTCCTGGGGACCCAGACTAGTGGCCTTTAGGGTCTCAAATAAACCCAAGACTCAAAACATTTGCACAAGTCTCCCCAAACCATTCTTCCAACTTTCACAAACTGTCTTTTGCTAAACAAGGGCCAATGACACCCAGTTGGCCACAGCCACCTCTCTTACCAGCTGCTTCCTTCCTTGTGTTCTCTGATGCCTGAGTGTGTTGGCTGTCACCCTGGAGGACAGAGGCAAGGGGACAAGGTTCCTCAGGGTTGGGAGGAGGCCTCGGTCCCGGCTACCCACCCCTTCCCTGGCCAGGCGACCATGCGCTTCCCCCCCTCTCCTCCACAAACTCTGCTGGGCCCTGTCCCCCCTCACCTCGCGATTGGTGGCGGGCCACCATGTGTCCCAGCGCTGGGTGGGTCTTTCTGTCTTTCAGCACTTGCTGGCCTTAGAGCTTCTGGGGCCAGGGTCTCAGCTCTTTGCTCCCATCTAAAGTTCCCTCTCCCTTTCTCTCCACCCGCCTCCCGCAGTCTTATTTTAGCCGGGGGAGCAGGAGGAAGCCATGGCGGGGGAGGGGAGGCCGCTAGCCTTTGCCGCACCAGAGCAGCTATTCAACAGCGGCGCATCGCTTCTCTCCCTCTCTCTCTCTCTCTCTCTCTCTCTCTCTCTCTCTCTCTCTGTCTCTCTCTCTCTCCCTCCATCTCTCTCTCTCCCTCTCCCTTCATCTCTCTCTCTCTCTCTCTCTCATTCTCTTCATCTCTCTCTCTCTCTCTCTCTCTCTCTCTCTCTCTCTCTCTGCCCCCACTACCTTGATGGGAATTTTCAGGATTTCTTTGCTGCAATTTAACCCCAAGATGGGGCAGCACGGGGCGAAGTGCGCGCACACACTCACCCTGTTCCCTAAGCCCGAGATGCGGCGGCTAATGATTCAGGAAGGGAAAAAAATATATATTTATATATCTCTATATTTTTAAAAACCCGGGACTCTGAAGCTTGAAGACTCCTTAAGAGCCTTCCGGAGCGTCTCCCCGCCCTTTCCCTCTCCCCTTTCCCCTTTTCCTATCCTTTTAATCTCGAAATTTTGCTGTGGGAAGGGACTACCCATCTTCCTGGATTTTTTTCAGGTCTAGGAAAGTCAAGCAAAACAGGCGGAGGGCTTTTAATTGTTTTGTTTTTTTTTTTTTTGACTAACTCCTCCCCTCTAGCAAAGATCTGCTTTTGATAAATTTTCTTACATCCGATTTTTTTTTTCCCCAAATGGGCCGAGCGCACGCTCTTTGCAAGGTGCCAGGCTGACTGGGACCTCGGAGGAATTTTGCAGCTTCCCCTCTACGTCCCTGGGGAAGAAAAGGAAGGGAAAGGAAGGAAAGGGGTGGTGGTGGGGGGAGCACCTGCGGTCCTTGCAGAGCGACCGCATCCTAAAAGGCCTCTGTGCATTGTGTGTGGGGTGCGCACTGGAGGGGGTGCGCACTGGAGGGGGTGCGCATTGGGGTTCTTTTTTTTTTTTTTTTTTTTTTGCTGGAGTGGGTGGACTGGGGATTGCCTGGATCCCTTCCTCGGTTATTTTTTGCCTCTCTCTCGCGCTCGCTCTCTCGCTCGCTCTCCTCTCGCGCGCGCGCTCCTCCCCTCCCCCTCCGGCCCCCGCGCCCCGCCCCCGCGCCCTCCTCCCGCCCCTCCCTCTCCGGGGTCAGCCAGGAAGATGTCCCGAGCTGCTGTCCCCGGCTCGGCGGGCCGGGCCTGGGCTTCGTGAGCCCCCGAGCCGAGCCGAGCCGCCGCCCGATGGGCTGGGCCGCGGGGCGACTCCGCAGTGGCAGGTGCAGCCGCCGCCGCGCTCGGAGCAGCCTAACCCGGAGCCCTTCGCTCTCTGCAGAATGGCCCGCTTCGGAGACGACATGCCGGCCCGCTACGGGGGAGGTGGCGGAGGTGGTGGCGGCGGAGGTGGCGGCGGCGGCGGCGGCGGCGGCGGAGGAGGAGGAGGAGGAGGAGGCTCCGGGGCAGCCGCCGGGGTGGTCGTGGGCGCCGCGGGCGGGCGCGGAGCCGGGGGCAGCCGGCAGGGCGGGCAGCCCGGAGCGCAAAGGATGTACAAGCAGTCAATGGCGCAGAGGGCGCGAACCATGGCCCTGTACAACCCCATCCCGGTCCGGCAGAACTGCCTGACCGTCAACCGCTCCCTGTTCCTCTTCAGCGAAGACAATGTCGTGAGAAAATACGCCAAAAAGATCACCGAATGGCCATATCCTTTCCCCGTGCGCCTCCCCTCCTCCCCCTCCTCCCCCTCCTCCTCCTCCCTGCGCCTCCCCTCTTCCCGGCTGGGGCTGGAGACAGACCCGGGGGTTGATGGGAGCTGGTGGTGATGGAGTTTGGGGGGTGGGGGGTCTTTCTGAGGGTCTTGCTGGAGCTGAGCAAGGTATGGCTCCATCCCTGGTCTGGCCTGAGCCACACTTGGAAGTGGGCTGGGGTGGCGGGGGGCTCCCCAAAGAGGAGAGTCCCTTTTGAGGATCCCAAGCAGAATGAGGGCTGGGCCCTAGAGTGGTGCAGGGGCCTGTCTAGGGGGCTTTGGAGCCAGTTGCAGTGAGCTCGGACTTGTCCCCAGTGAGCCTAGGCCCAGGCCTTGGCTACAGGGCAGAGAGAGAGAGAGAGAGAGAGAGACAGTGACAGTGACAGTGGGGGCCTTGGCTGGTGCCCCTTCTAGGACCAGCTTTGCTTGTCCCAAGATGTGGGCCCCAGGCATAGGGCAGGGCGTCTGGTGGCTCCCAGAGCCAGAAAGGATATGGGGAACCATGTGGCCTTCCGAGGGAGAAGCCAGCAAAGGGCCAGGCCGGATGTTCCCAGGGTGAGCTGGGGATGGTCAGTGTCCAGTTTGAGGCACTCTTATTCTCTTCCTATGTCTGAAGGCCCCATCTTTTTGGGATGTAAAGAAACACAGCCAGTTTGCCTTCTCTGGAGCCCTAGCCTGGGACGACACAATGTGTGCTATTTCAGTAAGAAAGACAGGGGGACAAGAAGCCAAGGACTGGGTCCTTTCTCTGGGGGCCTCCCAGAGTCCAGCCTTGGGTTGGATTCAGCTTCTCCCACCTTGGGGAACTGGGAGGAGACATCAGGAGAACCAGCCTGCATGTGGACGCCTTGGTCAGGTAAACGCTTTTTTTTTTTTTTTTAAATGCAGAGGAAAAAAAAAAAAAGGTTGAAAACCACCTTTTCCCCTGTGGAAATGTGATCAGAATTCAGGTCCTTGTCCTGACTTCAGGTAAACCTGGAATAGGGCTTCTGGAGATGTCAGCAGGCAAGGGTGGGTAACATCGCACAGTTATCTAAGCGTGACCCAGATTTCAAGTGGGGGGGATACACCCTGCTCCCCAGGCTGGCTGGCCACTCTGCCATGCCCGAATGTGTCTCTTCTCGGCCCCGCTCCAACTGGCTGCCTTCTGTGTAGAAAGGAACTGACTATGTGTGTCTTTGCGGGCTCAGCCATGGCTCCTCAGGGGTCAGTGATAGGTCCCCTGCCCTTTTTTTGTCTCTGTTTGGTTTTGACTTTCATATATGCACCAGGGCCGGACCCCTTGTGGTCTTTTGGGGTTGCTACTTAAACAGCGAGGTGATGGGTGGATTCCCTTTTGCGGGGCATGCAATCGTTGGGTGAATGGCTGAAATTGTATCAGGAAGCATTAGGTTTTGGAGTAGGAGGTCTACTTTGAGGATTGTGAAAATGAAGATTCAGAAAAAGTCCTTTATTGGGGGGAGCTGTACCCCTAACCACGATCTTACCTTCATTGTCTCTCAAGGCAGGAATGGGGTCCTAGTGCCCTTAATTCCAGTCTCTAATGGTTAGAAATTTCCTCACCACAGACACACAGACACACACACTCCAGGCTGGGCCAAGTACTCAGGGGTTATGTTTTTCCATCAGGGCAGGGAGTGGTGGGGAGCTTGGAGGGTGGCGGGGGGCCCAGTGTATGTGTGCATTTAACTTCAGGGGCTGTCATGGGGTGGGCTTCGCTGTGCTGACAGGTTTCTCTATTGAGGGTGACTTTAAGCCCACCTTTTGGAGCCTTTTAAGAGGAAGGGAAGGAGGCGGGGAGCCTTCTGTTATCCTTACCTCACCCCTGGTCAGCCTGAATCCTGCAGATCTGAGAGCTGTTGGCTAGAGAGGGGATGACAAGGGCCCCTGACAGTGGTGGGGACAGATGCAGGTGAAGTGGAAATGTGGCTTGAAGCTGTAAGCTTTGTTTTCGACAGCTCGTCCAAGGCAAATGCTCTTGCTCTTAGTAGATTTCTGATGAGTCTGAACATCTCTCTCTCTCTTTCTCTCTCTCTCTCTTTCTCTCTCTGCAGAGTTTTTGTTCTCTCTTTGGCCTGAGGAAGCAAACATATTAGAGAGTCCCACTCCAGAAAGGAATGGCTCCCCACCCTGGCTCCAATCTGTCACCAAGCCAGGCCATCCAGCTCTGAGCTTTGTCTGGGAGGGATGGAGACAGGAGGGAGAGACAGAGACCTGAGGCCAGCAGAAGGAAGGGATAAACGAAATGCCAGGGTGTCAGGACACTGGGGTGGAACATTGGACTTTAAAAAAAAAATTCAAATACTATTGGTGTTTAAAAAAAATATGCTTAAGTACTTTTGAACTTTCAGAAAAGTCTGGAGGATGTACAGAAGTTGGTTTCAGCTTAATGAATGTGCGTAAAAAGAATGTTCTTGCATCTGTCACCCAGGTCAAGGGCACACCACAGTAGGTGCCCCAGAAACCTCCTTCCCACCCTGGCCTAGTCCCGCTCCAGACAAGGGTGGGTAAGGTAACCAAGGTCCCTCCTGAACCACTTCTGTGTGGAGTCACTCCTTTGTTCTTTTGCATCTGGCTTCTGTGCGTGTGTCTGTGAAAGTCACCCACATTCACAAGCACTTGTATCTTTGCCCCGTCGTGTTGTATTTTGTGTGTGTGTGTGTGTGAGACTGTACCTTAATCTAGCGGGTGTGGACCGGCATCGGAGTGGGTTCCAGTTGTGGACATTCTTGTGCATGTCTGCTGTTGAATTTTCCCGGTGGCTTTCTTTCTCTTGGATCCACCTAGGAGTGGCTGTGCTGGCCACTTTTTGATGTATTTGATTTCTTTTTTGTTTTTTGGTTTTTTTTTTGGTGGCACTGGGGTTTGAACTCAGGGTCTCATCCTTGCTAGGCAAGCGCTCTACCACTTGAGCCACCAGCCCTTTTTGATGTGTTTGGAAAGGGTGTCTGCTAAGAGTTGCAGGTAATCTGGTGAGTGATCGCTCCACAGGCTTGGCCACACTCGCAGAACCGAGGTGTTACTCGCAGTGCAGACCCCCGCGTGGTGCACAGGTGGAAAATGGGTCTTGCACCCCATTCCAGTGGCTTGTTCAAGCCTGAACTTGGTCATCAAGTGAACTTCCTAAGTCGGGAAACCCAAGGGGAACTTTTGGTGTTCACATCTGTTTTGCTGCCTTCTTCTCTTGAGCCGTGCCAGGCAGCAAGCTGTCCTGATTGCACACATCATGGCTTTGGGATCGCCTTTCCTGGAAGTCTGATTTGAAGGTGGCCAAGATGGACTCCGATGGCTTCAGCAGAGCTCAGCTCTGTCAGTTCCCGAAAGCGCATCTGTTAACTCGCCTAGAGCCCTTGCTTAACGCCATGCGCTCCTTCTGATGTGCCACAAGTGACAGTGTCATTTCCGTATGTCAGCTCGGCTCCCACTGACAGGGTGTAGAAATCCAAGCCATTGCAAGAGCCAGGGACTCGGGTCTGTGTCTTACCACCTGGGTCTCCCAGATCATACCCAGCATTGCATCCGTGTTTCTCAATAAGAAACCAGCCAGGCACCCGTGGCTAAGCCTGTAATCCCAGCTACTCAGGAGGCAGAGGTCAGGAGGATCATGGTTCGAAGCCAGCCTGGGCAAATTGTTTACAAGATCCTATCCTGAAAACACCTTCACAAAACAGGGCCAGTGGAGTGGCTCAAGTGGTAGAGCACCTGCCTAGCAAGGATGCAGCCCTGAGTTCAAATCCCAGTGCTGCCAAACAAACAAATAAAAAACTCACTGACGTCCAGTAGCCTGTAGATGTTGACCAACTGTAACTCCCCCCATTTTTATCTTATTTTATGATTTTATTTTATTTTCAAAGGAAAGGCTCTTTAAAAACAGAGTGCCCTGGGAGATGTGACAGTCCTGAGACGTAGAATATTCTAGAAGGCTCTACTGTAAAGGCACAATGGCACAAACCCCAGGACCTTTCTCTTAGATTAGCTTGGCTGGTGTTTACAGAAGAACAAAATTGGGGCAAGTGACAATTAGTGTGGCTTTGCCATTGGGAATTATTTTTCCAACAACAGTGTGATCTATTATCCATAATTTTAAAATTCCCCAAACTGCAAACCAAAAGATGAGACTGTAAAGGTAACACCTATCAGGAGATGAATTAATGTACTTTGGTTTTGCTTTTTGTGGATGGGGTTTTTAGGATGTCACTGTGCCAAGAATCTGTCCATGACAGTGCATTCCCCAAACTTCGGCGTGGACAGGGGGTCCTCTTGCTAAAATGGTGGTTCTGGTCCATCATTCTCCTCCTCCTTTGGAGACAGGCTCTCACTAAGTAGCCCAGGTTGGCCTCAGGCTTGCAGTCCTCCTGCCTCTGCCTCCTGAGCACTGAGATTACAGGCGTGCACCACTGTGCCCGGCGATGCTGTGAGTTTTGACAAATGCCTGCAACTAGGTAGCCACCACCTAAGCCAAGATGTGGAACAGTTCCGCTCTCCCTAAATAGCCCCTCATTCCCTTCTGAGTCAGCACCCCACTCCTCTGGTCCCTGGCAACCCCTGGCCTGAGCCCCTGCGATAGACCCTGGCAGCGTGTGCCTTTCTGAGTCTGGGTCACTAAACCTTTGAGGTCCGTGCGTGGTGATGTGTGTATCAGCAGCTGTTTTTGAATGACTGAGTAGTATTCTGAGGTACCGATGGACCCCAGCCTGTTCCCCCCACATCCCAGCCAAAGAACATTTGGGGTGTTTCCAGGGTGGGCCATTATAAATAGTTGGCATCAACGTTAACGTGTGGGTTTTCAGAGTATAGGGTAAATACACAATCCAGACTGTGATTGCTGGTGCGATGGTTGGCGTGTTTATTTGTTTATTTTTTTGGCAGTTCTGGGGTTTGAACTGAGGGCTTTGCACTTGCTAGGCAGGTGCTGGACTGCTTGAGCCGCTCCACCAACCCACGTGTTTACCTTT